GGGGGTGGGGGGGAGGAGGGGAAGAGCCCTAATTGAAAATGGGAGTCATTGATTTGATTGACCTTTAGATTTAAGAATTTTAGCTAGTTTTAGAGCGATTTAGGTATATTTTAGATTTGGGATTTTTTTCAGAAATGTAGATTTTCTTGCTTTCCACATCGCACAGGTCAAAACTGTTTTGCCTAAAACACACAGAAGTACATATAATAATAATAATAATCATCATCATCATCACACTAGTTTAACGATAGGTAAATTTCGCCTTCCCATTTTCATAACTTCAACACTGTTATTTGGTGCGAGAAAGTAGTTCCATTAGTAATTTAATAACTTTAATTGTTTTAATGCACTTTATCGTATTTTAAATAAATCAAAAAACAACGAAAGAAAGGAAGAAGGAAAAACGTACTTGCATTTAATATTTTAAACTTGTTTAAAGTCTGCATGAAATCCATATCAGTTTTAGTATGTTTCAGTTACGAATAACTATTAAATGAGAAAAGGATATAGAATTCAAAAACGTCTCATTGTGATTATTTGATGAAGTGAAAGTGTTCAGATATGATACTCACATTAACCATCTAGCCCAACTAAGTACCTCGAAATCATTATTTTCATAGAATAAAAGACCATACAGAAACAAAAGTAATTAGTGGAGAGGATTTTCAATTGGACAAAGATCCATATAATACGCTTAACATTCAATGTTTAAGGAGTGGAGTATTTAGAACCTCATTTTCATAGTACGAATAATTTGTCAAGGTCACTTAAAGTTAGACACAGGTGTTCCTACATTATAAAGCAGTTTGATCACTAGAACTCGAAATAAACCATCCATTCATTACACTTCCTCTGCACTCCAGATATTCCCACTCTAAGTAATTATTAATAACGCCATATCTTTCCTACAGAACGCTTTTATGGCCGATACTATTTACCAGCTTATACACTCACAGCCATGACCCCTGCCGGCTATTGATAGTACCACATTATCGCACATTGATCCATCAGCGTTTTTTATTGATCTAGCGTTTTGTGTCAGAAATTGTTAACTCATCTAATGATCCGATCGAAGCCACGCATTAATGGTTGGTTGAAGGTGAAAGCACAACGCACAATACAGGAAATAAAAAATGTACAAAACACAGTATGATGAACAAGAAATATCATTTGATTACTGAAGTAAAGTTCTTGAAACGTGCTAAACGAAGAAAAAGTTTCACGTGGACTAAGATTTTTAACTGTCTCCAAGATATCACGAGTCATGGCAAATATATAGGCGAAAAATTTGATGTGCAGGAATTCCGGGATACAAAAAATTTGGCAAAACTGTAGTGATTTATTTTAAAGTTGTGAAAAAGTCATTTCTCATATTAATAATTTTCGCGAATTTGAAATAATTACCCATATCAACCATTTAAACTATCCATTTTTAATGAGAATTAAATCTACATTATCTGTTTCTAGATTACCGGTTGAAGTGAAATGTCGGTAAATACTGACGAATCGAGAAGGTCATACGAGGAAACTGAGAAGGAATTGGCCTTAAGGACTCTACACATACAAAATTACAGTTTCTACATTGCTGTGAAGGAGAATTCCCAAGGGCGTTTTATAAAGCTCACGGAAACGGCTCAAGGTGGACAGAGGGCCCGGATTTTTATGTCTGCTTGCGCAGTTAAAGAGTTCGTTGAGAAATTGGATAAGATAATTCTTACCTTAAACTCAGTCCCACGCTACACTCGACGGTCCGTGGCTCCAATCAATGTTATGCGCTCTTATACCATTATTAGAGATAATCGGCGTTACTTCCTTGATCTGAAAGAGAATGATCGAATGCGATTTCTGAGGGTGTCCACGCTGACGAATGGTATCCGCGCAAATATGATTATTCCAAGTGAAGGTATCCAAACTCTTCGAGAAATTTTGGCGGAGATATTGTCTAATTATTTGACCGATTGCCATTGCCAACTAGGCTGCCAGGAACGAGGAAAAACTCTTCGTGTGGGCAATAAGACGTACTTCTTTGATTTGGGATCAACTCGAAATGATACCTATTTGAGCATATCTGAAGTGAAGAATAATGAGAGAAACTCAATCAGCATTTTGGGGAAGGATCTTGTCAAATTTCGAGATATTATTAACGAGATTATTGAAATGAGGTCAACATCTGCAAATGTGAGTAAATGATTTAGACGTGAAATTTTATATAAGCTACTGAATAAAACATCAATCACAATTATAATTTTATTAATTATTATCATTATTACTATACACAGTAGTGCAAAAATGTTGAAATTTAGACTTTATTGAAGTAAGCTGTACTAAATAATGGTAAAGAAGATGTGATCAAAAGAATATAGAAAAGATGGCCAAATTGTCATTTGACTTTGGACTCAGGCAGTTCAATTTCCAAAAATTCAAATTTCACAATTCGCCCCATGGACTCCAGCAAATGTTCGCCCACGGTGTTTAGAGCCTATTGTAACCAGGCATTTTTAATCTAGAGCGAATTAGACTTGGAGTTTCAAGTTACTTGATAATTGCATCTGATGGGATCTTACTCGATACTTCAAAGTTTACAGTTTTAACTTTGTACTAATGAGACATCTAAAGTTATAAGATACGTTCACTTAAGTCGTGCACAATGATAATTCAAAGCCGTAATTATCTAAATTTTATATATATATATATATATATATATATATATATATATATATATATATATATATATATATATATATATATATATATATATATATATAGCGTGCTAAAATGATCTGACGAAAAATTACATTTTGCTAATTAAAAACTGTAATTTACCAGGTTAAACTCCTTACTGACATAAAAAGTAAATTCAATGAGTAATTATTAATAGGTTTCTGCAAATTTTAAAAATATGCAATAAATAAACTAACAAGAAAGAAAAAGAATAAAAAAATAAAAGTACCTCCGTTTTTATTGGTGATTATCATTGTTATTATTCAGTTGGAGTGACACAATCTGTGGGACACGTCATCGTCTAACACGTGATCCCATGCACGCACAACCAACATCCAATCAGAAGCCTTCGTATGCTTAACTGAATCCGTCACGCCGAAGGATTTGTAACATCCTGTAAATCACTTTTCAAGCCATAACCTTTGTGAATAAGCGTGTTCTTGCATAGTTAATTTCGGGAAACTTACCAAATAGGAGATCTGCTATAGAGGTTTTGAGAATAGTCAAAGCTCATTAAGGTAGCTAATTCGCTACCAATATCGTTTCTGACGCAAAGAGTTGACGTTAAGCTACAGCAATTTTACAAAGGTAACATTTGTCCTCCCGCACTTTGGAAATTAATATAGGGCTATTGAGAATTTCATTTTTTTTCAGGAGCACTGAAGCTAGTATTTGGCTAAGGACTCCCCTATTTAAAGTGTTCAACCGCGTCCATCAAAATTTTATCGAATCAAAGGGGATTCCCCGTCTCCTCTCTGTCTGTCAATTAACATATGGAAACGGTCACTTTAAAAACATATGAACAGAAAAAAACCTTTAAACAGTCCCTCAAGCCATAATTGCTACGACCTCATCGGGTCAAACTCATCCAATTGAAATGACTGCATCCTAGGTAAAGTGACGACTCAAATGAGTGAAAATTGGCGTCGGTAACGTATCGCCACGCTCGTTATTCGCCATTGTATGCTAACCCCATTCTAAACATGCGCACGCACGCTCCATTGCACATATCTCACAGTTCCGGGTCATTTTTTTCAATAAATTATTGTTTTAATGAAGATTGATAAAAATAAATGGTATATCTTGGAGAATCGTTTGGGCAAGGTCAGTTACTTCAGCTGTTTGTCTTACCTTGAACAATATTATGCAACCTTGTAACCTCGTTTAAACAAGTGGAGGAACAAACGAATCCTGAGTGAGCCAATGGGGAAGCTCGGTGCCGGCTATCACTCTTGGCGGAAGCTTAGGACATTGATTGCCTTCCTTGCTTACAAGTCCTTATTTTCATCTGCAATCATATAGACTTCTAGTACTTCAATAGTTACTTGACTTACCTGTATGTTGTGATCTGCAATTTGGACCACGCTTCCGACAGTATCAAATTTTATTTTCAGTTTTAAATTTTCCCCATCCCCATCTTATTCTGCTATTGTTCCAAATTGAAAAAATTCGTGACTTGATTTCATAATAACGGTCTCAAATTTAAGACTATTAGTGATAATTACACCACTTTCTAGAGCTCATATTCACTCACTTAACATTAGATTTCAGAGAAGTAGTTACAAAGTATATAAGTAATATATTATTCACATCACCATACTCTCACCTCTTTGGCGGAGAAAACCATTTAAGAATAGGAAACATTTTTACTCTTCATAAAACCAATTGCAGGTGGACTTTTGCAGTTTTCCATCATAATAGAAATTATGCTAAATAGAATCTTGCATCCCTGAAAATTGCTAAATAAAATACTACAATTTAACAAGCAATCAATATTCGAATTTGTTTAATGCGTCACGGAATCTACTTGTTAATTCAAGGGCGAGTATATTATAAGGCGAAATTAATGCGTTATATGTATGGGATTATTGACCAAAGTTGCGTGGTTATCGTTAAATGCACGAGTTTAAAGAAGCACAAATGTCTCATTTCATCCAATGAATCATTGCACCAAATTTATCTACTTCTAAGGTGATACAGTCGTAAAATTATTAGATTTCTTTACACTGTAGAATTATGAATCCACATAAACAATTAATTGTAGGAGGTTTGTTTGCAGTCACCTCCGACCACTGAGTTGATCTGTAATGATTCCAGAATTTAGTTACAGGGGAATGTATTCGAACTCGTAATAGGTGGTTTAAAGATTGCACTATATACTACATTATCATACCTGATTGCATCAGTGGACTTGTACGTTTCCAGTGTGATAAGAGAGGCAAGTGGCATGGTGAACTATAGGGAAATATACATTTATTCATTTATATCAAATGGTTGGCTTAATGATATTTTTCATTATCCCTTTTATTTATTTATTTATTTATTACGGCTTCACATAGGGGAGGAATAGACAAAGTCGTAAAAAATCGAGGGAGGGGGAGGGAGAGAAGAGTGATTCAGGGATGTAAAAGAGACAGACACAAAGGTAGAGAAAAATGAAAGGCAAGGTTAGCACTGTGGAAGTGGTGGAATATGGCATAGAGTCGGGCCATGGCAGTTTGAAGCTAACTGACAGTTTATAGACTTTTTGGCCTTATGAGTATACGCTGCCCAGGGTGCACATGGTGGGAGGTCTTTCTTGCATCCCTTAATGTATCTTGAAAGGTAACTTGAACGCTAATTATTTTTGAATTATTAATTGGGAACTAAATAAAGTATTGGAAAAGGCGCTCGTTGCGTGAATTGCATCCCTCCTCTCTCAAATATTACATATTTCATCTAAAGAAACACCTAGTTTAGGGAGAACAGTATACTCATTCAACGGTAGCGTTATGCACTACCACGTAAATTGACATCAACACAACAATTTTTGGTCAATAAATAGACAAGAAAAGTACCATAAGCAAGTATTATTTATTTATTTCAAATGGCAGGCGTTTTGATAGATATCATTAGCCATTTAGCTGACTTCGGGGTTCACAGAGGGGAGGTTCATCGAAGTAGCAGAAAGTCGAGGGGCGGGGAACAGAAGAGCGATTCACGGATGTAAAAGAGGCAGACAGACACAAAGGTAGAGAAAAAGGTAAGGTGAGTATTGTGAAAGGGGTCGAATATGACAACCAGGGGGGTCGTGGTAGTTTGAAGTCAGAAGTCAAATGCCGGTTAATGGACTCTTTTGCCGTATGAGTATACATTGCCCAGGGTGCACCACGTGGAGATAAGTCTATCGCACACCCCACCATAAGCAAGTATAATTAGT